ACAACCACGTGAGGAAGGCAAGAAACAAGTAGCAGACATTATTACAACAACCACGTGAGGAAGGCAAGAAACAAGTAGCAGACATTATTACAACAACCACGTGAGGAAGGCAAGAAACAAGTAGCAAACATTATTACAATACTGACTTGCAAGAGGTATTGTGACAGCGACTGAAAGCACGTGGTATGTTTTCTTCATGTCTAGTCTCCACCAACGCGGCTTTTCAGACTTGGTGTAAAAACAGCTGTGTGGATTCCCATCTAAGGCATTACGGGGAGGGTGGAAGTGAATGTTACCAGACCCTAAAGCAACACCACGTGGGGACAAAGCCATACCTTAAAAAAAACAAAAAAACAACACACACACACACACATGAAAACAGACAGATTAATTATCATGCATTTATTCAGTAATTAATCTGAATTGTAAGCAAATAAACCGCCATATCGGGATACGAGAGCAAAAAGTGGATAGAATGAATATTATTTTTTGTTTTTTGTAGCTTTAATATAATCATTTATATTTTAACCATAAATAACATATTGCATAAAATTAGTTGCTGTTAATTAGTTCATTGAGAGTTCTGAATTAGAAGTGTTTTTATAAAAACAAAATCACAGGAATCTATCTTTTGTCTCCTACAAGTCATTGCCTAGCAGACCTTTCGTTCACAATTCGTCAGCTTGGCTGGACAATGACAAATGTAAAATCATCTAAAACACAGCACACGTGTAATATAAAGATTTCGAAGTTACAGTTTAACTCCCGAAAACTGGCGAAAGTTTGGGAATAAATGGGCCTTATATTTGTGATAAAAATCACTGCGGATTTTGTTTTTCACATTTCCCTGAATTGAGCATTACGGATTTCAAATGCAATATTAAGTCTAAAACTTGTTTTTATTACGAATTTTTGATCCTGCGATCCTTATCCTCCCCAACATACACTGAACATTTACTTTTTCGTTCTTCAATAAAATAACATCTGGTTACCTAACGACAATATTAACAAACGCGCCATCTGTTGCTAGACACACAAAACGTAGGTTTAAATTAATTATTTCTATGTTTTATACACATAAAAAGAAAATACTTGCGGAAGACAAAATGAATGTATGGTGCAATTAATTTTACTCTTACTATTTAGGGCAAATTATTAATAAAAACTAAATTTTCATAAAGTTATTTCTTCTGATTGTAGTTTTTTTTCTTCTCTAGAATGTACTTTAAAAATCGAACCATTTTTATGACCAAAATTATGCAACAAAATGTCACCCAGACTTCAACGGAGTCTGATTTGTTTGTTTGTTTGAGTTTAAAGTTACACAATGGGCTATCTGCGCTGTGTCCACCGCGGGCATTCGTACATTAATCTGTAACAGATAAGAGCTCGTTCACTACTATAATGTAACTCTGTAACAGTCTTAACTGATCAACTGATAGTCCTGTTGCACTGACTAGTGAAAGATAGCGTTAATTTAACCAGCTCTTAGTCCAGACGGCCCCAGTGACTGGTTAGTTTAACCAGGTGTTAGTCTAGAGCTTAAGCAATGATTGTTTTATTTCCAGACTTGCCACGTTAAAATACGGGGTTCAATTCCTTGTTGTGGCCACAGTGCAGATATCCCATTACGTAGCTTTTGCAGTAAAAAACACACAACACGTAGCTTTTGCAGTAAAAAACACACAACACGTAGCTTTTGCAGTAAAAACACACAACAGAAACAAACTGATTGGTTGATTCTACGAAAGGATAGTCATAATTTTGTGTCCCATCATTGCGTTTTTTTTTTCTAATGTACGGTTTGAAAACTTTGAAATGTTGATGCTTTCTATCAAAGTAAGCACGTGCTTAAAGGATCAACAGTAAAATTCGTTTTTATATCATACATATCCTCTCCTACCGGAGACGCAAGAAAATTTGCAATGAAAACTTTCTAAGCCTAATGTTTACCAAACTGTACTTCAGTCATGATCTGAGACCTTAACTTAGTTAAAATTTTGTTAATCACGACCTGAGACCTTCACCTAGTTAAGACTTTGTTAGTACAGATGTGATATTAGACATAATTTCACTTTCCTAGTCTGGATATATGTGAACTTGAGACTGGAATGTACTTACCACACACCGGTATACGTCCAGACAACGTACTGTCTGGTAGACAACGTCGAGTATTATTATTACCGATTAAAATGTATCCTTTACTGCAAACAAACGTGACTGTTTCTTCAGAATCGTGGGTATTTTTCACTTCTAGATGAACCAGCCTGTCTGGGTAGTCACACCGTTCAGCTAAGGAAGCGAAAAAAAAAATCAACTCTGTTCACCTTCGACATCTCAGATATATTTAAAAAACATTAAATCAGAGATTTAGTAACGTCATAGGTTTACAGATTTAGTAACAATACATCGTAGGTTCAGAAATTTAATTGTTAATTGTTTTCTTAATTAACGCAAAGTTGCACGTGCGCAAAGAATAAAGAGTTCGAGAAACGAAGCTTTGTTTGTTTATTATTAAGCACAACGCTACACAAAGGGCTATCTGTGCTCTGCCCACCACGGGTATCGAAACCCGGTTTCTAGCAGAATAAGTCCGCAGACATACCGCTGTGCCACTGGGGGGCACAAAGCTTTGTGAACAATCCCATCCTGTTATGACAAGTTTTCAAAATATCAAAAATTTCTCGTGTGAGATTAGTTTCTCGACTTTAGGAGAATTAAACACCCGCTTTCCCACGATATCATCTTCGAAGATCACATACAACAGAACGTCAGAAGTTCAGACTAATTTTTCAAAATGAACGATCTATTCAATTCTAATTTATGATATTTACTTAGACGACATAAACATGTAAAATGTATGAAATTTAATTATACATTACGTACTTCTGTTGTAACAGAGTTAGTTGTTCCAGGTGGTGTTGACAAACTCGTTCACAAGTTGGAGTTGACAATCATGATAGTAAAATAACCTTTAGTTATAAACCAAGTGATTATTCTTCGACTATTTCAAAACAAATATATTTCCTCACGTGGATTTAGAAATTGTTACCGTATCGTGAATTATCTGTCATTTACACTTTATAGATAGATCATCAATTATATAAAATCATCAGGTACAAGTCAATGTTCTGTAATTTTCTTATGTGAGATTCACTTCTCATCATAGACTAATATACCATTTTATGATTTGTAAATAAAACCTCAGTTCTAAGTATAACACAGATTGAAACAATTGTTAACAAAACATCTTAGTTTATAAATTACTGACCTATACATGTCTAGCTTAGTCTTTTATGATAAATTACCCTCATGAATATCAGTTTCTAACAAATATCCATTTATAATTGATACAGAAAACTCATGTTTCATCCTAACCCGATGTAATATCATTAATGTATGTAAGTAAAAATCCTATGTTTAACAAACATACTGAAATATTTATGAACAAAACTTCATGATATACTAACATGCTCTTTTCGAAAACATCAGAATACTGACTTACAGTACAATGTAATATTACCTGTTGTATATACTTGTTCTAGCATGTTATTAGTCAAATCAAATAAATGAAACACAAGGGGCAAGTAATTAAAGTTTCTTTATTTTAGAAACTACACAAAACATAACATGCTCTTGAAATCCTTAACTAAATTGACTGTCAAATATGTGAAAATTCACTGAATTAACATGAAAAATCGTACCAAGGACATGTCATAACATAAATTAATATATGATTAAATGCAAACTGATCGTGTAAGATTTCGGTTAGTAAACTCAGAAAACTATTTTATCGACTTTTTCAAAGCGGATACTTCCACACAGATTTTGAAACTGTTACAGGAACATAACTTATATGTTCACTTAAAAAATATAGAAAGTAGTGCACTGTGAGTTTCTTATACAAAAAACACTTCTCATTGTTAACTTCAAATATAGAAATGATAGAGAGGGTGAAATTGGGGAACATCTGGGTGCAAGTGATCATTGCTATATTAGGTTCGATGTTTTGCTGCATATGAAGATAAGGAATAATGATATTTTGGTTACAAATTTTGAAGGGATGTGACAAGAATTATCTGTTGTAAATTGGGCAGCTGAGTTATATGGAGACACTGATCAGATGTGGAACATTTTTAAATGTGCAAGATAAACATATTACTTATAGAAAGAAAAGGGTAGCTACAAGTAAAAAACCAGGTTGGCTAACAAAAGGTATAAGGGATAAAATTGAATAAAAGAATCACACATTTAATAAATTTATATTGACTGTATGACGGTAGATTTAGAAATTATAGAAGATCAAGAGAGTTGTTCGAACAGGAAATTATGACATCAAAAAGGATCTATGACAAAAGGTTGGTTGAAAATATAATAATTAACAGTAAGGATTTCTTTAAATACATTAAGGGTAAACAAAATGT